TTCACTCCCGTGTGTGGTGCGGTGGCAGCGCCACGCGCACGCGCTGAGCACGCCAGCCGCGGGGCGGGGACCACTGGGCTGAGTGCGCGGGGCGCCGCGTGAGTCCGAGCGGCACGAGCCCGCAGACAGCGGGGTGCGGTCGAGTGACGGCGGACTAAGCCTCCGCTCGAGCGCTGGCTGGGGTGCAGCCACGGCGTCTTTCTTTTCTTTCCGCCTCTAGCCTCGCATGCCGCGGCGAGCAGCGGCGTGCCGCCGTCGCGAAGCACCGCCGCGGGGTCCGCCTTCGCCTCGAGCAGCTGCGCCTAAGGAACAGCTCACCCACCGCTGACTCGTTCATTAGTTGGGCGCCGCCTTCGCCTCGAGGCAGCCGCGCCGCGATGTCGGCGTGGTTGGTGCGCGCTGCGATTGTGAGCGGGGTCATGCCGTCGACACAGGCCGCGCCCACTTCGGCGCCCGCCTCGAGCAGCTTCGCGACGGCGGCGGCGTGCCCCTTGTACGCCGCCGTGTGCAGCGCGGTGGTGCCGTCGGCCGTGCGCGCGTTCACGTCCGCGCGCGCCTCGAGCAGCAGGGTGGCGTGAGATATGGGGAGATGTGGGGAGATGTGGGGAGGTGTGGGGAGGTGTGGGGAGATGTGGGGAGGTGTGGGGAGATGGGGGGAGGTGTGGGGAGATGTCTCTCGCGCCTCGAGCAGCAGAGTGGCAGACGCCGTGTGGCCGCGGTTGCACGCGATGATCAGCGGCGTCGCCCCGTCGGCGCGGGGCGCGTTGACGCCGGCCCCTTGCGCGAGCAGGCACTTCACGAGGTCATGGCTCGGGTGGAGCGAGGCGAGGGCGAGGGCCGAGGTGCCGTCGGCGAAGGCCGCGTTCGCGCACGCGCCGCGCGCAAACGCCTCGGGCAGCAGCGGCGCGTGCGCGTGCGCGACGCAGAGCAGCAGGCCGGCGGACGGGGCGAGAGGCTCGGCCAGGTCGCGGCACCGGTCCTCCGAGAGCCGCTCGTCGAGCTGTAGCTGGAGAAGGCTTGGGCAGGCGCGCGCGTGCAGCGCGCCCGCCAGCGCCGCCACCGCCGAGTCGGTCAGCAGCCCGCCGCTCGAGATGTCGCCGCCGCCGCCGCCGTCCCGAGGTGGGTGCAGGCTGAGCGATGTGAGCCCGGGCACCATCGCGAGCGTCGCGGCGAGGCGCGGGATCCAGCGCGCCTGGCAGCCGTCGACCTCGAGGCTCCGGATGTTCGTGAACCGCCGCAGCAGCGCCACGCTCAGCTCCGACTGGTGCCGCACGCGCAGCACGCCGATGCGCCGGCACGCTGCCTCGAGCCGGCGGCAGCCGGCGGAGAAGGCGAGTAGGTCAGGGACCGAGCGGACCGCCTGCTGCTCGGCCACTACCACGAGCAGATCGTCGTCAAGGACGTCGAGGAGGTCGGCGCTGGAGAGTTGCATGTGCATGTGTGGCCCCTGTGTCAAAAGAATTTTTCCGCGGGCGCTCTGCGCGAGTGAGTGTGGAGTGGGGGTGTGACGTGTGAGGCGTGCAGTGTGGTGTTCATTAGCTCCGAGTAGAGGGGGCGTCCTGCAGTTAAGGGGAAACCTGGTACGCGGGGCCAACCCTCGGAGACCCGTGTTTACTTTAAGGCCCTTTCCCTGCGAACGCGCGCCCCCGGGGCTAGGTAGGGCTCTCTTGCCCGCAACCCGACACCGATCATCCGGCCCGCTGGGTGCGCTTCTGAGCTCCCCGGCCCTGGATGTGAGGTTGATAACTGCACTCCAAGTGCTCCAAGTTTGGCAGTCGCACGAGTGTCAAAAGAATTTAAAACAGCTTTTCGCACACGCTCGCCGCTGGCAAGCTCATTCACAATCTGCTCTTGCGATGGCAGTGTGAAGAACGACTGAGATGCGCTGCTTCTGGAGCCCCAGCCAGCTCTTGGTGGTCCAAGTCACCTCATCGAGGTACTGGGCCCGCGTCAGCTTGTTCTGCAGCGCGTTCGCCGCCTTCCAGAGGATCGCGCCGACCCCTTCCCGAACCCACCGAACGACTCGAACAGCAGCAGCCGCACGTCGACGTCCTTGTCCTCCCTGGCGTAGCGATACTCGCCGCCATAGGACGGTATGCGGCGATCGCCGCCCACCACCCTCCCCCCCTAGTATGCCATCGACCCGTCCCCTGCCCCCTCTCGCCCTTGCTCTTCTTCTCCCCCTCCATGCCCTCGCCCCCGTAATGCTGCTGTACCTCGACAAGCGCACCTGGACCCGGACGATGACCAGCGGATAGCCACGCTCTCAAGCGACGTGAAGGCCGCCCTCGGAGAGAGCGCACCCTGAGCGCACCCCGAGGAACCTGGTTTGTGGAGCTCCCGCAACTTACCCTTAGAGGCCACCATAACGCATAAGGGACCCCATTGTCCGTTTGCCACCAGACTTTTGAGGTAATAACTAAATGGATTGCACTCTCCCAAAGAACTGATGCATTCATAGTGCCTTCACATACTTACAATACCTCAAAGTTGAAAAACTCCAAAATAGGCCGTCAGGACTCTGTCAGGACTCCGTCAGGACTCTGTCAGGACTCCGTCAGGACTCTGTCAGGACTCCGTCAGGACTCCGCCAGGACAACCACTATCCCGCTGTGAATAGAGCCCTTAGCTAGAGAGTAGGGAGGGGTGTACAGTCGAGTTACTCCCGAGGGCAGGGACGGCCCTCCACTGAGGGAAAGGGCGCACGGGGACGGTATCGACCCAGCCACGCAGCTCTTTCCTCGCGTACAGCCAACGAGTTTGCTGGTCCACAGGCAGGCCAGGCCGTGAGCACTGGAGGGCTATGCGGCTCGCTCCGTCAGCCGACTTGCGCTGTCGAGCGGTCGAGCGCTTCGGGTTGGACCCGCGGGAGGGTCCCTGCGCGGCTGACATGGCCAGCCAAGCCGTGTGCGCTGCCGTGGGTGCTGCCGTGGGTGCTGCTGTGGGCGCTGCCGTGGGCGCTGCCGTGGGCGCTGCCGTGGGCGCTGCCGTGGGCGCTGCCGTGGGCGCTGCCTCGGTCAGCAGTCAGTCAGCCGCTCGGCGCTGGCCTGCAGGCCGCCGGTGGCAAATCGGGGGCGCGCGGGCCATGGACGTCGTGGCCGAGCTTTGCTGCCTATGCACGTTGCCGGCTGTAACGTTGCCTGCACAATGGCCGCGCCTCTCTTGCTTGTGCGCTTTTCATGGTCGAGCCGAGTGGCGCGAGAGTGAACGTGATTTCTTTTGTCTGTCAGGACTCTAAGTTTCTGTCAGGACTCTCAAGTTTCTGTCAGGACTCTCAAGTTTCTGTCAGGACTCTCAAGTTTGCTTGTCAGGACTCTCAAGTTTGCGTCAGGACTGCCCCATCAGGACGATTCCGCAGAGGGCGCGCACGGTCGAAAGGGGGGCTGGGCGTCTATCATTCACTGCTGGGGGGGAGGGGAAGGAGGGTTGCAGTGAAGGAAGGTGGAGGTCTCGTCGGAGGCACTTGTGAGCACTGTGAAGACCGTGCGCCGTCAGGACCCCGCCAGGACTCTGTCAGGACTCTGTCAGGACTCTGTCAGTGGACCCAGCGAAGGAGGGGCGAGTCTAGAGGCAGAGGCGTGGCAGGACGGGTGGGACGAGGAGGGAGGAGGAGCATGTGCCGATGGGGCTGAAGGTTGCTGGCATCCTGGATGTTGCAGGACAATAGCTAACACTAGGCACGTCCTATGCGCCGAGTGCGAGGCGGTGAAGGGGGAGAGGAGGGAGCACCACCGGGCGATGAGGAAAGGCGCGGCGGACGTGCTCAAGGCGCTACGATGGACGCCGCCGAAGTCAAGGAGGCGGACACTCGCCCACACCGCAGAGTGCGAAGCCCAGGCGCTCGCTGTACGCGCCATTGCTGGGGCGACGAAGAGATGCGCGGGGAGAAGGGAGAGCGACGAGGAATGGGAGGCGATGGAGCAACTGCTAGCTGGACGACTACCCGAGCCGAGTGTGATGGACCAGGACCCGCCAGAAGACATCATGAGGGAGTATGACACACGGGTGGTGACTTCACTCAGGGAGTCGGGCGCGGGATCGCCGGAGGCGGAGTCAACAGGATCAGGCAGAGAAGACGAGACGGCGGCGGGGCCGCAGCCGAAAAAGGCTAGGAGGGGAGGTCGGGCCCGCCGTACAACCATCGAGAAGCAAACAGGAGAACGAACCGGCGGGGGGGGGGGGGGGGGGGGCACCGGAGCCGGGGCAGGGAGACCGGGCGGAGGGGTTTTGAATGGTGACGCCGTCGCCAAGGGGGAGTGTATGTCGTCGAGCGTGTCCTTGTCTGGTGTTTACTAGCTCCGAGTAGAGGGGGCGTTCCGCTGCTGCTAGGGAAACCTGGAGCGCGGTACTAACCCTCGGAGAACCGTGTTTACTTTACGGCCCTTTCCCTGCGAACGCGCACCCCCCCCAGGGCTAGGGCTCTCTAGCCCGCAACCCGATACCGATCATCTGGCCCGCTGGGTGCGCTTCTTAGCTCCCCGGCCCTGTGGATGTGAGGTTGATGACTGCACTCCAAGTGCTCCAAGAATGCGAGAGCGATTGAGCCTGACTGTTCTTCACCTTCCTACCTAACCTATCCTAAGCGATTGTGGAGGCGATGCGCTCCCCACTCCCGTTCCCCTGTGTCACTGATCGTCCTTCCAAGATCCTGCTCGTGCAGGTGGGGACCCTGTCCTTCTCCCGTCCCTCGTTTTGGTTTGTCTGTTTTCTTTCTTCCTCGAGGCTAGATGATCCGTCCACAACGAAAGAGCCGACCTTGTACATCGCCATGAAGTACAGCGATCGCCATCTCGCTAGTCTCTCCGCAAGGCCTCCCGACCGCGTCGAACTCACGTCTCTCTCGGCTACGGGACCGGCCCTCCAGCTTCGGCTGAGGGCTCTGACAAGCTGCCGAGCCCCCAAATCACTGTGAAGAGTCGTGATTTATTGTTGGTTTTCAACCCCCCCCCCCTCCCCCATCCCCCCCGCATATGACGCTCTTGTGACGGAGCTCGGAGGGAGATATTTTTAGCAATACCAAACAGTTTAAATGTAATACATGACGGCGCGGCGGCCGGCGCCCGTTTTTCTCGTGGCGTCCCGTCGCGCGCGCGGCGCGCGCTCTCTCTCCTTCTCTCCCCCTCTTCTTCTCTCTCCTCAGACCCTCTGCCTCTCGATCACACGGAATCACACGCTGAGCACGTGCGGCTCGTCAAAGGTGTCCTTGGACTTGGGGTCCCACCCACCCTGCAGCAGGAACGCTCCCGAGGGCAGGGCCGACAGGGACGCCGCCACGCGGGGCGCGGGCGCGCCCTCATCGCCGCCCTCGTGCACGCACTCCCAGCGGGCCACGTCGCCGTCGACTCGGACGCGCCAGGTCTCGTCGAATGCACGGAGGCCGGCGCCGCCCTCGTACCCGCCGCCGCCGAGGCCGGCGCCGCCGAAGACCAGGCACGAGGCCTCGCCCTCGGGCGCCGCGCTCGACGAGCCGCGCGGCGTGGGCACGCGGCCGTCCTCCGCCGACCCCTCGGGCCGCAGCTTGCGCCACGCCCAGCTGGTCGTGTCGAGCACGTGCACGTCGGCGGACATGCCCTGCGTCTTGGGTCGAGGCCCCCCAAAGACCGAGCATTAGACAGACTCGCCCAGAGGGCGCGGCCCGCGCACATGCTCAGTCCGACCGGTGCCTCGCCGGTTGTCGGCTGCTCGCGCATCTCGCCGGTCGCGCCGTCGAGAACGGTGACGCCGCGGAAGGTGACGACGACGACATCCTTGCCGACCGTGCACGCGCTGTGACGCGAGACGGGGCCGCACGGCATCGGCTGCACGAGTCGCTCCCACGTCAGGCTCGCGACGTCTAGCTTGTACACATCGTCGAGGAAGGAGCCGCCCGAGCCCGGCGCCGCCGGGTCCCAGCCTCCAAACACGTACAATGAGCTGTCCACGATGGCGGACGCCGGGTACATGCGGACGCCCGGGCCGTCTCCGGCGGGCGCCAGCTTGGACCACGCGCCGTCCTCGTACGACCAAAGGTCGTTTGTGCACGGCGAGCCGGCGCCATCAGTCAGTCCACCGAAGAGGAGAACGCGGCCCGCCTCAGTCACGGCCGCCGCGTGACCGCTCACGCGCGGAGCTTTGCCACGGAGCGTCGACCACGAGGGCACGGTGACGCCGACTTGCAGGCAGTACAGCAGCGCGCCGGGCATGTCGTGGGAACGGTTCGCCCTCCCTGGGTAATCTGGGTCGGGGCCCCTGGGTCGACGATCAGCTCCGCCACGTGTGGAACCTGGAGCTTGTGTGTGTGTCTTTCTACATACATACAACAACTGTTGTGCGAGGCGTGAACCGCGCCATTCGCTCTCACCTGGCAACCCTGTCTGCACGTCTCGCGCGCGCGTGAACAGGGCTCCAGGCCCCAAATTACGTGTGAGTGTTAGAGTTGTTTGGTATTGCTAAAAATCTCTCTCTCTCATACATAGGATTGAGAGCAGCCTCGCTCTCAATCCTAGAAGTCGAAGGATTGTGAGCAGCACTCCTCGCAATCGTAGCATCTCTGTGCGACTGTGTCGCACCCACGCTCGCAATCCTACGTCTTCTTTCTAGGACTAAGAGCAGCTCCGCTCCCAAGGTGACTGGTGACGCCTACGACTACTACCAGCGCGCTCGCAATCCGAGCAAAGCCTAGGATTGCGAGCAGCTTTGCTCACAATCCGAGCAACATGCCTCCGATTGCGAGCAGTAGCGCTCGCAATCCTACATCTTGTACAGTAGGACTATGAGCGGCGGCGCTCACAATCGTACCCAAGATCCAAGGATTGCTAGCATGCGCACAGGGGGCGCTCCCAATCGCTCCAGCCGCGAGCGCTTGTGAGTGAGCGCGCCGGGAGGGTCTCCTCACAATCCAAACAGTGATCGCACCGATTGCGAGGGGACGCGCTCGCAATCCTAGAAGTCGTAGGACTGTGGGCGGTGTCGCTCGCAATCGGCGAAAGTTCTAGGATTGCGAGCGCTCCTGCTCGCAACCGGAGGCATGTTGCTATGATTGTGAGCCAAGCTGCTCGCAATCCTAGACTTTGCTCGGATTGTGAGCGCGCTGGTAGTAGTGGTAGGCGTCACCAGTCACCTTGGGAGCGGAGCTGCTCTTAGTCCTAGAAAGAAGACGTAGGATTGCGAGCGTGGGTGCTCACAGTCGCACAGAGATGCTACGATTGCGAGGAGTGCTGCTCACAATCCTTCGACTTCTAGGATTGAGAGCGAGGCCTCTCAATCCTAGCGGTCTAGAAAAGAAGGTTCACCAACACTGCAGACTCACACGCTTGTTATTGAGCAGAAAATTATCGTTCATTGCGGTCGAGTTCGTAAAACGGAAACGGACCTGTGGACGCGAACGGCATGTCGAGACTGGTTATCAAGCCGATCGCCAGCCGTCAAGCCCCACCAGACATGCCGGTGCTCCTCCGCCCCCCTCGCCAGCCATCTTTGACCCTCTCCCATTTGGCATCCCTTCAGCGGCTAACCGCGGCGGCGTCACGGCGTGCTCAAGAGGCGGAACAGGCTGCGAGGGTCGCTGAGCTTGTGCAGGGACGCGAGTCTACTGCGCTGAGCGCCGCTCCCCTGGAGATAACGGTGGAGGATGCTGCGGAGAGAGTACAAAAGCAGCTGAAGCGATTGCGGGACGAAGCGCCGGTGCCGGTGACAGAGGCCTGGCGCCGGCAGATCAAAGCCGTTCTGAGCACAGGAGCGGGAGGCTTCGCAAGTGGCGCTGACGGCGGGAGAGAACCATCGTTGGCCTATGCAGGGGCCTCGATGCCGACGGTGGCAGTGCCAGTTTCAAACTTCTTGCAGGTGGCAGAAGCAGAGGCATCCGGCGCAGGAGGAGACTTCGGCCTGCTCAGCAGCGGCCAATTTCAAGCAAGGCTTTGGCGTGGGGGAGAACTCATCTCCCTCGGACACTTTGACACGGCGGTGGAGGCGGCGGCGGCATACGCGCGGGCGGTCGCAGTGGAAGGCGCGCCGAAGGAGACGATGGCTGGGGAGTCGGCGGCGCCGGCGCCAGTGATGGCGACTGAGGGGGCATCAGGTTTAGCGCCAGCCGCTGCCTCTGAAACTTCGCCTTCTCCCTCTCCACTTGGACCATCGCCGCCGCCGCCGCCCTCGCCGGCTGAGGGTGCTTGGTGGTAATGGGGCAGGGGGCGGTGTGCGAGCGCGTCTCTTCGCTGGTCGCGGCGTGTCGGTGTGAGCTGTGACACGCACGGGGGTGCCCCCCACATGTGCGCACACACTCACAGGCACACACCCACGCCGCGCAACGACACGGGTCAGTGTGTAAAGGCTGACCTAAAGATCCGAGAGCGGCCGCGGACTTTTGGAGGACTCACCCAGATAAGTTTAAACGCACACAGCCGCTCCTGGAACTGCAGCTAGTTGAGACATGCAATCACGCCCCCAGCGCGGCGGCGCCTGGCGGCGGCGTGAGTCCGCGCGGTGCGTGCGAGAGAAGGAGCGTGGTCCCGCGCGCATGCTGCGGCGAGGCGAGGTCTGAGGAGAGAGGAAGGCGGAGGGATGCTGGGCCGGGACTGGAGCGTCGGGCTGAGCGAGGTGGCGCCGCTCTCGCGTGGAGAGCTGTCCCGGTGAGGTACTGATGAGAGGGTTTGGGGGTTGGGCGGGAAAGGGGGGGGGGGGGGGGGCCTAATTGGGGGTTGGCTTTGGGGGGGAAATTCACCCCGGGGGGGGGCCCCCCGGGTTTTGACCAAGATTTGCCGCCCGCAAAAGCAGCCCGCCGCCCCGGCCGGGTCCTCCTTGTCATAAGAACCAGTTGCCGCCCCCCTTGGGCCTCTTGAGGAAGGAGGGGAGGGGGCATTTCCCCGCCCCCCGTTCAATCCAAATTCCTCCGCCCCGGGGGACCCCTTATTTTTAAAGCGGCCCCCCCCCCGGGGGGG